AAGTAGCATCAGACAATATTTGTCCTTTTGTGTCTGACTTATTTTACTCAGCATGTTTTAAAGGTTCATCCACGTGGTAGCATGTATCAGAACTTCATTTCTCTTTGTGACTGAGTAACATTCCATTGTACGGATATACCACATTTGTTTAACCATTCATCTGTTGTCGGACACTTGAGTTGTTTCACCTTTGGCTATTACAGATAGTGCTGCAATGAACATCAGTATATGCCTTTAAATTTTTTTGACAGACACCCCCTAGGTAGTGGCATCTCTGCCCAGGGAAAGTGCTGGATTAGGTGAAATAAAGTGAAGCCCTTTGCATCAATTTTTAGAGATCCTAGACAGGTCAAAAGAAAAACCACAATTGTTTGAGAATCAGGTTGCTCTGCTACCTCCAAGACCAGGAATCCACACCAGGAACCAGGACTTCTGTCTTCAAGACTGCCACTAAACTTAGGAGGGGAAGATGAGGACCCGTGGAAAAAAAACTCATTGCTGTGGTGTCGATTCTGACTTACAGCGACCCTATAGGACAGAGTAGAACTGCCCCATAGAGTTTCCAAGGAACAGCTGGTGGATAAGATGGGATCAGGGCAAGTAAAAAAGCCATAAAGCTCTTATACACCTACACCTCATTTACCGACAATCTTGTTATCCAACTTTTGGCATTTGTAACAGTAGTAAAGTCTGCTTTCCTACTATTTTGTACATTAATGATGTAATTTCTGGTAGTAATGAACGCCCAGGTGTGAGGCAAGAGTTAACGCTGGCTGTGATGGTTAAAGTTATGTGTCAGCTTGACGGGGCCATGATTCTCAGTGCTTTGGCAGTTATTTAATGATGTAGTCATCCTCCATTTTGTGATCTGATGTGGTCATCCTCCATTTTTGTGTAACGCCTATTTTTGCATAATGACCTGGTCTTTGGAACTTAACCATGTCAATAAGTGAGGAGTGGGTGTACTGAGATTCAGCTGTCCTTTTCTTTTTTTTTAAAACCAGCTTTATTGAAAGAGAATTCACATAACATACATTTTACCTGTTTAAAGTGTACTGGTACAGTTCAACGGGTTTTATTCATAGGGATGTGCAGCTATCACCACAGTCAATTTTAGAGCATTTCTGTCACCTTAAAATATGAAACCTTGTACACTTTAGCTATTGTTTTCCTACCCTCCCCCGCCCCCAGATGTAGTGACCCGTAATCTACTTTTTGTCCATATATTTCCCTATTTTGGACTTTCATATAAATTCATACAACATGTAGTCTTTTGTGATTGGCTTCTTTAATTTAACATAATATTTTCAAAGTTCATTTATATTGTCGCATGTATCAGTACTTCAATTTTTTTTGTCTTTTAAGTTTTTTTGTACTTTAAGTGAAAGTATTTTCTCATTAAACAGTTAATACACATATTGTTTTGTGACACTGGTTGCCATCCCCACGATGTGTCAACACTCTCTCCTTCTCAGCCTCGGATTCCCCATTTCCATTTGTCCAATTTTCCTGTCCCTTTCTGCCTTCTGGTCTTGGCTTTTGGGCTGGTGTGCCCATTTGGTCTCGTATACATGATTGAACTACATGTGTTATTGTTTGTTTTATAGTCCTGTCTAATCTTTGAACTTCAGGAGTGACTTCAGTACTGAATTAGAAGGGTGTCCAGGAGCCATACCCTTTTTTTCTTGTTTTTAAAATTGTACTACTTTAGATGAAGGTTTACAGAACAAATAGTTTTTCATTGAACAGTTAGTACACGTATTGTTTTATGACAATGGTTAACAATCCCATGCCATGTCAACACTTACCCTTCTCAACCTTGGGTTCCCTATTAGCAGCTTTCCTGTCCTCTCCTGCCTTCTAGTCCTTGTCCCTGGACTGTTGTGCCCCGTTAATCTTGTTTTGTTTTATGGGGCTTTCTCTTCTTTGGCTGAAGGGTGAACCTCGGGAATGACTTCATTACTGAGCTAAAAGGGTGTCCGGGGGCCATACTCTCAGGGATTCTCCAGTCTCTGTCAGGCCAGTAAACGGTGTTATGCCAATTGAGCTAGATGTTCCCTGAGACCATGGTCCCCACAGCCCTCCGCCCAGCAGTTCAGTCCCTCAGGGAGTTTGGATGTGTCTATGGAACTTCCATGACCTTTCGTTGTACAAGTTGTGCTGGCTTCCCCATTATTGTGTACTGTCTTACCCTTCACCAAAGTTATCACTTATCTATTGTCTATTTAGTATTCCCCCCCTCATCCCTCCCATCCTCATAACCAACAAAAATTGTTTCTTTTTGGGTGTAAACGATCCAGCAGTCCTGCTTCTAGGAATATATCCTAGAGAAATAACAGCCGTCACATGAATAGACATATGCACACCCATTTTCATTACAGCATTGTTCACAATAGCAGAAGCCATACTCTTGGGGTTGCTCTAGTCTCTGTGAGATCAGTAAGTCTGGTCTTTTTTTCTGAGTTTGAATTTTGTTCTGTGTTTTTCTCCAGCTCTATCTGGGACCCTCTATTGTGATCCTTGTCAGAGAAGTTGGTGGTGGTAGCCAGGCACCATCTAGTTGTACTGGGCTCAGTCTGGTGGAGGCTGTGGTGGTTGTGGTCCATTAGTCCTTCGGACTAATCTTTCCCTTGTGTCTTTGGTTTTCTTCATTACCCTTTGCCCTTGACAGGGTGGGACCAGTAAATGTATCTTAAATGGCTACTCATGAGCTTTTAAGACCCCAGACACTCTACACCAAAGTAGGATGTAGAACACTTTCTTTAAAAACTGTGTTATGCCAGTTGAGCTAGATGTTCCCCGAGACCATGGTCCCCAGCCCTCAGCCCAGTAACTCGGTCCCTCAGGTAGTTTGGATGTGTCTGTGAAGCTTCCATGACTTTGCCTTGGTCAAGTTGTGCTGACTTCCCCAGTATTGTGTACTGTCTTACCCTTCACCAGTTACCACTTATCTATTGTCTGGTTAGTGTTTTTCCCTCCCTACTCCTCACCTTCTTGTAATCATCAAAGATTGTTTCTGTGTATAAACCTTTTCGTGAGTTTTTAAAATAATCTCATACAATATTTTTCCTTTAGTGACTGACTTAATTTTACTCAGCATAATGCCCTCCAGATTCATCCACGTTGTGAGATGTTTTGCACATCATTGTTCTTTATTGTGTAGTATTCTGTTGTTTGTATGTTTGTACCGTAGTTTATCCACTCATCTGTTGTTGGGCACTTAGGTTGTTAGTACTTCGTTTCTTTTTATTGATGAATAATATACCACATTTTGTTTATCCATTCATTATATGATGGATCTTTGAGTTGTTTTCTCCTTTTGGCTGTGGTGAATATTGCTCCTATAAATATTCGTGTACAAGTTTTTGTGTGAACGTATGTTTTCATTTCTCTTGGGTATATACCTAGGAGTAGAAATGCTGGGTCATGTGGTAACTCTGTTTAACTTTTTGAGGAACTACCAGACTTTCCTAAAGCAGCTGCACTGTTCTGTATTCCTACCAACACTGTATGAGGGTTCCAGCTTCTCCACATCCTCGGCAACACTTGTTATTATCTGACTTTGATTTTAGCTATGCTTGTGGGGGTGAAGTAGCCTTTTCTTATGGTTTTATTTGCATTTCTCTGATGACTGATGATCCTGGCCATTTTTTTGGTGTGCTTATTGGCCATTTGTGTATCTTCTTTGGAGAAATGTCTGTTCAGATTCTTTGACCATTTTCTAATTGAGTTATTAGTCTTTTTATTGATTTTAAAGAGTTCTTTATGTATTTTAAATAGAAGTCACTTATTACATGTATGATTTGCAAATAGTTTTTCCCATTCTGTAAGTTGTCTTTTCATGTTTTTCTTTGTTATAAAAATGTATATAATACAACATTTGCCAGTTCAACCTTTTTCAAGCATACAACTTAGTGATATCAATTACATTAAGCATGTTGTGCACCCATTACCTTAATTGATGCCAAATCTCCTGTCGCCATAAACAGAAAATCACTGTTTCCCAAACAATGGCTCTACCTCCCCCTTCCCCCACCACCACTATTAAACTTTGGTCTCTATACGTTTGCCTTTTCTTGTCATTTCAGATAAGTGAGATCATACAATATTTGACCTTTTGTGATTGACTTATTTCACTCAGCATAATGTCTTCGAGCTCCATCCATATTGTAGCATGTATCAAGACTTCATTTCTCTTACTGGCTGAGTAGTATTCCATTGTATGTATGTACCACATTTTGTTTATCCATTCATCCACTGATGGACATTTAGGTTGTTTCCACCTTTTGGCTATTGTGGATAGTGCTGCAGTGAGCATTGGTGTACATGTATCTGTTCTCATCACTGCCTTCAAGTCCCTTGGGTATGTACCTCAGAGTGGAATTGCTGAGTCATATGTTTATTGCCGAGTTCTGTATTTAATTTTTTGAGGAACCATCATCCTATTTTCTCCAGTGGTTGTACCATTTTGCATTCCCATCCATTTATCTATTTTGTCTTGCTTTTCGTACTTTTGTTATTGCATCAAATAATCTGTTGTTAAAAGGCTATACCTGACAGCCACACCCTTATATTTTCTTCTAAGAATTTTATGGTTATAGTTTTCATATTTAGATCCTTAGTCCATTTTGAATTGTTTTTGTGTATGGTGTGAGGCATGGATCCTAATTCATTCTTCTGCATGTGGAAATACAATTTTTCCAGCACCATTTATTGAACAGACTTTTTTTCCCCACCAAATGTTCATAGCACTGTTGTCAAAAATCAGTTGACCGTAGATGTATAGATTTATTTCTATACTCAGTTCTGTTCCATTGGTCTGTGTGTCTGTTATTAATACCAGTACCAGGATGTTTTGATTACTGTAGCTATATAGTACGTTTTGAAATCAGGAAGTGTGAGTCTTCCTACTTTGCTTTTCTTCTTCAAAATTACTGTAGTTATTTGAGGCCTCTTGTAATTCCATATAAAATTGAGGATTGGTTTTTCCATTTCTGTGAAAGAAGGCTGTTTGAATTTTGATCGGGATTATGTTGAATCTGTAGATTGTTTTGGGTAGTGTTGACATCTTAACAATATTAAGTCTTCCAGTCCACAAACATAGAATATTTTTCCGTTTATTTAGGCCTTTAATTTCTTTCAGCAGTGTTTTGTAATTTTCATTGTATAAGTCTTTCATCTTTTCACTTAGTGGTGTCTTTTGAAGAACAAAAATTGTTAATTTTGATGAAGTCCAATTTACTTTTTTTTTTCTTTTTTACTTGTGCTTTTGGCATCATCAGCCGTTCTTTTCTTGATTAAACTATTACAGTCTGGTTGCTGTAAAGCTTTCACTAATTTCCTGAGGTCAGATAACATTGATTGTGACAGTTGTTTCCTGTTTATTTGTTGTTTTTGTGGAGGATGGATCCTTCAGTTTCCTGAATGCCATTTTTGCTGATACCAATTTAGATACTTAGTTTTGACTGAAGGCCTTTTTTCAAAGTTTTTTTGGAGTTTCTCTCTTGAAATTGTCTTCAGACTTTGTTGCTTTTATCAGGTAAAATCAAGGAAGGACTAAATCTGGTGAAGAAATCAAACTAGTCAATAACATTTTAGGTTCTAAGTGTGACTCAGTTAACATGGGTGGTTTTTCTTAAGAATTGTGTAGAACCGACTTCTTAGGTGATTTCTGAGTGTTAGTGTGTGGCAGGGGTTGGCAGACTATGGCCCACAGCCACCATCTGTTTTTTGTACAGCCCCTGAGCTAAGAATAATTTATATATTTTCAAATGGTTGAAACAAAATCAAAAGAAAAAAAATATTTTGTAATACATTGTGATTATATGAAATTCAGATTTCAACATCTTTATGTAAAGTTGGGTTGGAATATGGCCACTCATTCTTTTCTGTGTTGCTTATGACTGCTTTTGTGCTATGATGGGAGACTTGAGTATTTCTCAAAGAGAGACTGTAGTCTCATAGAGCCTAGACTATTTACTATCTGATCGTTAACAGAAAATGCTTAATAATGCCTTCTGTAGAGTCTCCCTAGAATTATTGAATGCTCTCCTAAGGACAGTACTTGTTTATACTAGCTTTGGTGTGCATGTGAAAGTCTTACCTTGTGCATAAGCACATCTGATATTTTAAGTTTTAATACATGGAAACAATAATTTGATAGTTAACAGCTTTTCTGGCTAGTGGGCAGGGGTGTATATTGGTAGTCTGATAGTTACATCATCATTTTGGTTAGTGTTTTTTCTTTAATACTCTTTCTTGGCTTTCAGAAAAGAGGGTAAAAAGTTTTTTATGCTTCAGTAATACTGTGATAGCATTTTGCATAAATAACATGCTCGGATTATTTTTGTTTTCTATACCTTCATCTAAACTTACAACTCCTCCAAGCCTGGGATGGTGTTTATTTTGTATCCTCAGGGCATAGCACAGTTCCTGGTAAGTAGGTAAGCAATAAATATTTTCAGGAGGAATGTATGAATATTCTGTGAGATAAATACCTACCTACCTCATTTCTCGTCTTGGCCCTCCTGCAGAGAAGAAAACTATATTTGCATTTTAGGACTGTAAGAAGAAAATAAGTGAGGACTTGTCCAAGACTGAATCACTTGGGGAAAATTATTATGTAATCAAGGCACCATTGCTCACCTTTGCCATCAGAGTAGAGCTCGTGTGTATTTGTTTTTTCATTGATTTGTTTTGAGGGGGAGGGTATGTCATCAGAAATGTGGTAAACAAAACATAATAGGATAGATTTCTTAATTTCTTTCTGTAATTAATTTCTGTAGTGAGTAGGAAGATAATTGGAATGCATATTTAAGTTATAAAATGTAACAGCATTTTGAAAGTCTTAACTAGAGGTTATTCTTAGAATGGCAAATAATATGTCAGATGTATCAGGTAAGCCACATGGAAAAGCATACTTTGTATGCATTTAACTTAGTAACCTGAAGGTTAAATTTTTAAAATATTAATCTCCAGAATGGGAAGTGAGACATCATGTCTGCATTTCATGACAAAGCATATTTGTGATATGAACATTCAAGTGAGAAAATTCTGCCATTTTTTTTTCCAGTAACTTTGTTAAAGAGAGCTGCTTTTAATTGATGTTTTTCAGGCTCATTGTTTTGAAATTGAGGAATCAGAAACTAAGTATTAGATTATTTTATCAAGTTTTATGATTACCCAGTCTATAGTCTACATGTACCAAGAAGATTTAAAATCTGCTCTTGTCATTACTTTTCCTGATTAGTGCAGTAAAATCTAGTTGGGTTTATTCCTGTAATGTACACATCATGTTGGAGGGACTTACAATAAGAACTTGCTTTTGTATTTTCCGAAGAAGACTGATTTATCTATCTTGTCTTTTGTTACTTGTGCTTTTGGTGTCGTATCTTAAGACTCGATTGTGGAAAATTAGGTCCTTAAGCATCACCCCTATGTTTTGTTCTAAAAATTTTATGGTTTTAGTTCTTATATTTAGATTGTTGATCCATTTTGAGTTGATTTTCATATATGGTATGAAGTATGGGTCCAACTTCATTCTTTTGCATGTAGACATCCAGTTGTCCCAGCACTGTTTATTGAAGAGACTACTTTTTCTCTGTTGGATGGATGTGTCACCTTTGTCGAAAATCAGTTGACCATAGATGTATGGCTTTATTTCTGGCCTCTCAGTTCTATGCCATGTCTATCCTTATACCAATGCTAGACTTTTTTTTTTTAATTATGAAATTATTTTAGAAATAGAAACATCTTTGAAGAAAAAAATGAAAGAAAAACAAAATATATAAGCAAATTTTTGCTCACTGAGTTTCTCAAACCCTCACTTGTTCATCGGTCCCCAAGATGAACAACAGATTCTTCCAAAAAGGTGCTCAGCCACCAACAATGATGTTATTAAAAAGCGTATCAATCGGTTTCACAAAGAAGCCAGTGAATCCCATTATAGCAAATCCTGTTGCTGTTGCCATGGCAGTCTTATGGAATTCTTTTCTATCAGGTTTGGTGCATCTTTTAATCAGCCAAATTGAGTCCTTCACAAACTGCCCACGTGGCTCAACAAACTGCATTACCTGATCTGTGATTAACTGCCCCGCCACCGCTTAGGATATCAGGGACACATAGTACCAGATTTTTTTTTTTTTCTAATTGTACTTTAGATGAAGGTTTACAGAACAAATAGTTTCTCATTAAACAGTTAGTACACATACTGGTTTTTTTTTTTTTTTAAATTGTACTTCAGGTGAAGGCTTACAGAACAAATAGTTTCTCATGAAACAGAAGTATACATGTTGTTTTATGACATTGGTTAACAACCCCACAACATATCAACCCTCTAACTTCTCAACCTTTTTTTCTTTTTTTGGTGAAAATACACATAACCAAAGATACACATACTGTTTTATGACATTGGTTAATAACCCCATGACATGTCAATACTCTCCCTTCTCGACCTTGGGTTTCCTATTACCAGCTTTCCTGTCCCCTCCTGCCGTCTAGTCCTTGTCCCTGGGCTGTTGTGGGGCATTAGTCTTATTTTGTTTTATGGGGCTGTCTAATCTTTGGCTGAAGGGTGAACCTCGGGAGTGGCTTCATTACTGAGCTAAAAGGGTGTCGGGGGGGACTAGACTTTTTTTGATATACTGTAGTTTTATATTTTATAGTACATTTTGAATCAGGAAATATGAGTTCTACTTTGTTCTTGTTTTTGAGATTGCTTTGACTTTGACTTGCAATTCCATGTAAATTCAGTCTTCCTCTTGCTTTTTTCCACCTGTTTTATCTAGTAGATCATTCTTTATCTGTACATAAAGAACTGCCTTATTCCTTTTTATGGTGCTGCAGGATAGACCATTTTATGGGTGTACCATAATTTAACTGTTTAGTGCTGGATGCTTAGTTTGTTTTCTTATCTTTTGCTACTACAAATAGTACTGTAGCAATTAATTAACCTCGTATGTACCTCATTCCATATTTATAATCCAGTAAAAATTATTCATTTGTTTAACAAATACTTATTGAACACCTGCATTGTCTTATGTTTTGTTGATGATAGTGTTGAGTTCAGCACATTGTTTTTGAGTAAGTAGTAGTGCTGGTTCAGTGGTAGAATTCTTGCTTTCCATGCAGGAGACCTGAGTTTGATTTTTGGCCAGTACACCTCTTGTGCAGCCCCTACCCCTTTGTCAGTGGTGTGTTGCTGAACAGGTTTTATAGCTGAGTTTCCAGACTAAGAAGGACTAGAAAGACAGGACTGATGATCTGCTCCCGCACAGCAGCCAGTGAAAATCCTATGAACCACAGTAGTCCAATCTGCAGCTGATCATGGGGATGATGCAGGACCAGGCAGTGTTTCATTCTGTGTGCACAGGGTTGCCATGAGTCACAGGCAAACTTAATGGCAGCTAACAACAAAACAACAACAGTAGTGCTGGAGGTTCAGAAATGAGTAAGACAAAAAAACAGATAAAAAAAATTCGACGTTGTCTCTGGACATCAGTATGGTTTGAAGGATCCCCTGGTGATTCCAGTGTGCATACCCCTGACCTCACAATTTGTTTATTAACACCTTTGATACAACTGTTATTTTAAATAAAATAACAATCAGCTTTCTCCCAATTTGGTGTTTCATTTTTGTTTTCGATTTTTTTTTAAAGATAACACATGCTCATGGTAACAAATTCAGACAGTAAAAAAGATGGAAAGCTATATGCTCCATCCCACGCCTCATTTCCCTTAATGCCCCCTTTTCCCTTCTCTAGGGACAACCTGTTTCTTGTGTATTCTTTTAGAGATATTAACACATTTTAGAGTGAGGATTTGTATTTTCATATGCAAAATAATATTTTAAGTAGGAAATAGTTTTAAAATTGGAAATTTGTCCTGTAGTGTTTTGAAATTTTTAGAAGTTTATAAACTTTTTTTTAATTTATTTTTTATTGTGGTAAGTTTATGTATATAGCAATATATTTGCCATTTTAACATTTTTTTTACATATGTGACTCAGTGACAGTGGTTACTGGTATGTTTGTCATGTTATACAACCATAACCTTACATGTTTCCAAATAGTTGTAAATAGTTATTAAAAAAAAAAATCCACATTACAGAGGTAATTAACATTTTATACAGGGAAAATTTGCAGCTGCTAAGGTTAAATAGGTGGAGCCCTGGTGGCACAGTGGTTAAGAGGTCAGCTGCTAACCAAAAGGTCAGCGGTTCGAATCCACCAGCTGTTCCTTGGAAACCCTGTGGGGCAGTTCTGCTTTGTCTTATAGGGTTGCTGTGAGTCGGAATCGACTCGACAGCAACAGGTTTGGTTTGGTTGGAAGGTTGAATAGGACCTCTCAGAAGTTCAGGGGCTAATGCTATTCTCTGAGACCGTGCTAGGTGCTAGGGGTACAAAGGTGAGTAAGAAATGGGCTTTGTCTTCAAGTAGTTTGAAGTTCAGAGGGAGAGATCACCCAAACCAATAAATATAAAACTAGGTGCAGTTAACCTGGTTTGAGGTGTGTAGGAGGGAGCGGGAGAGAGAGAAGGAATCCAATCAGCTGTGCCTCGGCTGTTCTGTAATTGAGTTACTTGTCTTTTTTAGTCTATTAAGAGGTAATTAACATTAATTAGAAAAACAATCGTTATCTTTTAGACATACATAATGAAAATTTTATGAATGAAATGATGTTGGGGAATTTGCTTCAGAATAATCCATGCATAGGGCGTTGTAGGGTAGAAGTGGTAGGTAGGAAGTAGATCGGATTATAAATGAACAAAGTTGGCCATGATGCCGGATAGTGGTTGCATAGGAGTTCATTGTACTATTTTTCTACTTTTGTATATATTTGATGTTTTCCATAATAAAAATTTTAAATGAAAAGAAAGACAAAAAGTTCTGTGGATAATTTTTTTTTAGAATAAGTGGAAAATTGTTTTTTTTACTGATAAATATAGTGCTTAAACTCAGAAATGTGTTTTTTAAATGTATTTAAAGACTAATTTCAGATGATATATGAACGTGCTCTATCATTTTCCTAGTGTTTTTTTGGGAAGGAAACTTACTTCCTTGAATATCTAGATACAGTGTTACACCTGATTATACCTTTTAAATGAAGCCATTTTTAGGAAGGATACAAGTAATTATGTTTTTAAAAAATATCTTCATATGATTGACAATTTCTCTTCTCAACCGTAAACTATATTTGTTATCAGGGTAAATAAATTGTTTTACTTAAGTAGGTTGCTTTGGGATTGGTTTTAAACCCTTGTGAAATGTGTTCTGATAGTTGCTTAATATGACTGACAATTTGATTAAAGTGCTATAATCTATATATATTTGAGTACTTATAGCAGTTTAAAAAATTATATACTTTGTCGTTGTTGAGAATATACACAACACCCTTCAACCATTCCTACATGTACGATTCAGTAACACTGATTACATTTTTCGAGTTGTGCAGCCATTTTCACCTCCCTTTTCTGAGCTGTTCCTTCCCGATTAACATAAACTCATTGCCCCCTAAGTTTCCTGTCTAATCTTTCGAGTTGCTGGTGTAAATAGTTCTTAAAACAGCATAATGCTCAAAGCAGACATTCTTTACTAGTTAAGCTAAACTATTGTTTGGTTTTAGGAAGACTTCAGGGTATATTTTTGGTTTAAGGTTTAAATATTATCTTTTGGCAATAGTTTTAGGGGATCACCCAGCATCTATGGCTCCAGAAAGTCTTTGATCAAAATGTTCAGTAGTGGTAGCTGGGCACCACCCAGTTCTTCTGGTCTCATGGCAGAGGAGGCAGTTGTTTATGGAGGCAGGTAGCCACATATTCCATATCCTCCTCCTATTCATGACTCTCCTCCTTCCTTTGTTGCTCCAGGCCTGTAGAGACCAATTGTTGTACTTTGGATGGCCACTTTTAAGACCCCAGGCACTATGCACTGAACCTAGGAGATAGAACAGAAGCACTAAACATGTTATTAGGACAATTAGCTGGAATGTCCCATGAAACCATGACCCTAAATCTGCAAACTAAGGAACCAAATCCCATGAGGTGTTTGGTTGTAGATAAGCAGCCTCAGCAGCTAGTCTTTTTTTTTTTTTTGGTCGTTGCTGTAACTTACAGCACTTTTGACAATAGTTTGTTAACCAGGAACTAATAGCAGATTGGTATTATATCCATGCTATAGATGAGCTGCACTAGATCCCACATTCTCTGGTTCTAGGGAATGAACGCTGCTGTAGAGGCCTCGCAAGACCTGGACTAGCATCACTGTTTATTTGAAGGTCAGCCTCCAAAACTGAGCAGCACATTAGAATTAAGGATAGTATGTTATTGTATACTTGGAGAACATATTCAAACTTTGAGCTAGACTGAGTCTTTTTGAGGGAGAAATTACATCTTAATAATTTCTATAGCCCCAGGGCCTAGCATAGCCTGTTGTTATTGTTGTTAGGTGGCTTTGAGTCATTTTCGACTCATAGTGACCCCATGTGACAGAAGAACTGCCCCATAGAGTTTTCTTGGCTGTAATCCGTGCAGAAGTGGATCACCAGGTTTTTCGCCTGTGGAACCATTGAGTGGATTTGAATTGCCAGTCTTTCAGTTAACAGCCAAGTGCTTAACTGTTGGCATTACCAGGGCTCCTTAGCATAGCCTGGTGGTCAGTAAATACTGAGAATGAACGTGTGATATTTTACAGGTTTATTGCAGTTTAGTTTTATAAAATGACTCCCTCAAAAAAAACTAACAACAGCTCACTGTCTTGTCCTTGTGAGTCATCTTCTCCTGTTTCCTCCTTGCTGAGGCAATAACTGATTTGGAACAGCCCTGGAGGGACTTCAGAGGCCTGGCAGAGTGGAGTCACTAAGCCCTGGTCTAAGCTTTTTGTGCCCCTTGAAGAGTTGCGATTCAAACCTTGAAGTGACGTTGCTGGCTCAATGACCAAAGTTTATCTTTGACTTAAAGTTAAATACCATTTATTTGAATCATGAGCTGTAGGTGAATTTCAAAAGTACTCACTACTTTTTTATATCATTCTAAGGCTAGGGATTGTGCAGTATGTATCCCTTATTTATTGAGTGCCTGTTTTGTGATCGAACTGTGCCAAACCCTCTACAGACATTTATTTCTGATTACCACAGTATCCTCATTTTACAAACAAAGGACTTCAGGTTCAGAAAAGTTAAGTAACTAGTCTGAATTTATAGTCATCAAATGTTAGAGTCAGGATTCTTTCATACCCAGTTTTGTAGAGCACTATCACAGAAGCCTGTGTCAAAATTCTTGCTGCCTGAGCCTCTCCATTGTTTGAGAGGGATGTGTGATCTTCAGATTGAAGAGAGAGCATGGCTTTAGGGAAAAGGCACTAGAATAGAAGACCAGATCGTCTAGTATTTTTCTTTTGTCTTGAGGAAATTTCTTAGGTGTATCAGAGAGCCTCATTTTATTTTTTAAGGTGGATGTAAAGTTTAGGATCGAATGAGTAAAAATTGTTTTGTATTTTTTTAATTGCAAAAGGCTACATACAAATTGTTTTATTATGTCCTCTGAGGCCTTCTTTGTTTCAAGCAGAAGCTAACTCTGTACTCAAGTTTAGTGTTACCTGTTGGCGACCTGGCCTTTTAACAACTTTGATTGGTTTTTATCTAGATAAGGAAGTATAATAAAGTAGATAGAAGTGTGTGATATGTCTGTTTTGAAGGAACCAGGGGCATCTTCTTTTTTAGTTGAGTTGGGGTGTAAAGGTGTTTTGAGGAACATTTGCTTGGTGAGAATTTATAAGCAGAATTTTCCCTCATGAATGAGAGGGTAAGGACACTAATTGTGTTAAGGTTGACTACGTTTACTGGGACTAAAGGCAGAAACACTGCTGTTTTTGTCTTTCTGTGTTGTGACTTAGTGGAAAGATCACAGGCATTAGCTGAACAGACATGGCTGTCTCTGGCATTTGGCCAGCTCACTTTCTGTTTCTGAGCCTCGGATTCTACACATAGAATAAGGGATAGAAATTAATACTTGCCTCATCGCCACTCATCGTCACTATGAAGTTTAAAAGAGATACAAAATATATGACAGTCTTAGCAGTTTCTGGTACTTCTTGTTGTTGTGACTTAGAGTGATCCTGTGTACAACAGAATGAAACATTGCCCTGTAAATGCTTCCTTTATCTCTCCATGTGAATCAGACAGCATCGAAACTGTACACAGTCAGTCACAGCTTGTGTGGGTTAGGCTCATACTCTGAGACTCATGTCAGTCTCCCCCCCACCAAACAAGCAGTTACAACCAAGAGTTAAATAGCTATATTATATGTTTGTTTTCAACCTTCACTGTTCATCAGAATCACTCATGGAACTTAAGTTTCAGAAGCCCCACACCAGATCTATTGAATCAGAATATCTGGCCTTACGGTGGAGGTAGGTGGTGTTTGGGAGGATTGGCCATGTGTTATTTTACTAAAACTCCTCCGGTGATTCTGATGTGCAACCAGGGTTGAGAACCATTGATCTACTTCTTTTAGCACACAGGACAAACCCTAAAATGCACAGACTAAAGCAGAAGTCAAAGGAAAAAGAAGCGCCAGGCCATATTCAACAATTACGTGATGATGTAACGATAAATGAGAATTGCTAGGTGCATAGTAGGTTCTCAAACGTTGAAAGAAAAATTTATGGGCAGAACGACTATGCAGCATAATAAAACTGATTTATGCTGAGTGATTTTGGCACTAGTTTTTCTGTTGTGGTCAGTGTTATGAAATTCCCCAGGGTTGAGAGCCCAAGGAGGGCTCTGAATTAATGTTTTGAATCATTTGGTTCCAGCATCACATACAACGTATTACACAACTGCATACAAGTTACTTCTGTTGCCTCAGGCCAGAGGTATAGCGCTTCTCCCCCCTTTAAACCTCATGGGTTTACAGAGAGCTGTACCAGTCCAGGCCTGTCCTGTCCTGTGTTTGGTGCAGTTCACCAAACCTGTTTTATTGTGGGTCTGAGAGTTTACACGACACAATAGCCAAAGGCCTGGGCTAGCAGGACTGCCTTGGTATGGATGTTTGTGTTCTATCTCTTGAACATGCAGCTTCTCTCCTGTTCTTCATGCTCCAGGCCGAGCTTCTGCTGATAGTCTCCTAGCAGCAGTCTTACCGCATGCTCCTCAACCTACTTCTGTGACTAACATAGCAGCTGCTCTGCTTTCCAGCTTTCACTGGACCAATTCCCTGCTTTTGCGCTGCCTTCTTCCAAAACTCCGGTGATTCCCTTTGATCTGTTATCCAGGCTTTCTCTTTGGTCTTTTGTTTCTGGGATCTAGCCAGTAAGCAAGGGGTATTTCTTGCTTACACAGTAACAATGAACCTTTTTACTCAATTATCTTTAGTCTTTTGCCTTATATTGCTGCAGGCTAAAATATAATATGGCCAGGGAGATCCTCTATTTAATCTACTCTTGCTGGATTTTGCCTAGCTGGATACCAGGTCCAGCTTTTCAGCCTGATGAGGCTACCAGGTAGAGAGGATTGGTGGGAGGGGACTTAAAGTATGTTACTTGACTCCTTTGTTTTGGTTGATGTGGTGGAGTAGGAGTCTGAAAGTGCTGGTCTCTAATCCCTGCTATTTGCTAAGAGCTGTAGACCTCTGGCAAGGTTACTCTGAGCTCTTTTTCCTCCTCCATAAATATGGAGATAATAAAATCTGTGCTGCCTACCTCACCTGGTTGTTTTGGAGACTCAAATGATATAATGGATGTTAAAGAGCTTTGACAACTAGAAATACACACATGTATTTATCAGATTATGTGGCTGTAAGTGAGATGGGACTAATGCATATGCTTATGGTAGTCTTGTATCATTCTAGACTTGAAATTTCCCTTTGCAGTTTTTAGTTCCAGCTGGGAAGGGAAATCATAATTCTTGTACGGTAGAAGGAATGTAGTTGCCAACTAAAAATAGGCACTTCTTATTGATGCCCTGTGCTAGGTAATGAATATAGTAGATACTCAGTTAATATTTGTGACAATCGACACAACCTCCCACAGAATAGGAGGCAGCATCCTACTTTTACAGGTCAAGAAACTAGCTTAGAGAAGTGAAGTAACTTTCCAAAATCTCACAGGTGGTTAAGGGCAGTGCAGGAAGTAACCCCTTGTCTTTCCAGTATGACACAGAGCATCTTTGTTATGCTGGCATAGGAAGTGTGATCCTGTGTATAGTTTGTCATGTTTAATTAGAAGCAAATGTAAGGTATTATAAGGGATTTACATTTTAAGATTTAATGGTTTACAAATACACAAAGTAGTCTGGTTATTTATCTTACTCTGCTTGTCCCATAAACCAAAACCAGTTGCCATCGAGTTGATTCTGACTCATGATGACCCCATGTGTGTCAGACTAGAACTATGCGCCATATTCTTTTTTTAAAAATTCATTTTCGGTGGACATGTACACACAGCAAAACAGGTTCCCATTCAACAATTCTACACATATTGTTCAGTGATATGGGTTACATTGTTTACATTGTATCAGCATTCTCATTATTTCCATTCTAGTTTTTCCCTTTCCATTGACCTACTCTGACAGCCTCCCAACCTGCTCATCTATGCTTTGGAGTATTTGTCTACCATTTGGTCTCATATAGATGATTTTTAAAAGAGTGTAGTATGCAAGGGCGATATTTATTACTTCATGAGCCAGCTTGCTATTTAACTAAAAGGTGATTTGGAGGAATAGTGTTGGTTCAAGGTTTAAATAATATTTCAGGATAATAGTCTCAGGGATTCCTCCTGCTTCAGTGGTCGATTAAGTCTGGATTTTTTGAAAATTCGAAGTTCTGTTCCACATTTTTCTCCTTTTATATCAGGATCCATCTGTTGTGGTCTCGATCAGAATGTAGATGGTGGCTGGGCATCATCTCGTTGCTTTATTACTACTAGACAATTTGTCCTGTAGACTGGTTCCTTCTCTGAGTCTTAGGTTTCCTTTTTTCTCTTTTGCTTCAGACAAGTAGAGACCAATAGTCTTAGATGGCCACTTGCAACCTTTTAAGACCCCAGATGCTACTCACTGGACTAGGATGTAGAACATAAACTTTATGAGTTGTATTATGCTAATTGACCAAGTTTTCCCTTGAGGTTATAACCCTAAGTCTTCAAACCAAGAAAACTAATCCGGTGAGGTGATTGGTTAGGTCTAAGAAGTATCAGTTTCTGAGACCTCTGTTTTATTTTATGTATAGGTATATGTATGTATATGTAAATTTATATACGTATATACATATACATGCATATATATATTTCTACACATGTATATGTGTACATATAAGCACACGCATGTATGTTGGTTGTTGTAGCAAAATTATGTATAACTTAGCATTTAGCTAAACATCTTTTTGTGTGTGTATGTTTACAACCTGGTGGCATCAGTTATCTTGATTAAGCTGTATACAGTGCTCCCATATTCGGTGCTACCTTTTCTATCACTGTAAGTAAAAAGTGACTACAGTCTATAGAATAAATCTTTGTCTGACCCCCACCCCCACCCCTGGTAACCAGCAAGGAGCATTGGTCTCTGTATATATAGTTGTTCTTGTCATTTTATATAATATTTGTCGTTTTGGAGGTTCATCCATGTTCCAAGATGTTTCGGGAACTTACCATTCTTTATGGCTGCATAGTATTCCATTGTATATATATACACCACATCTTGTTTACCCGTTTATCTGTTGATGCACACTTTGATTGTTTCCATCTTCTGGCTGTTGTGAATAGTGCTGCAGTGAACATAGGTGTGCATGTGTTTGTTCCTGTCTCTTCTGTTAGATCTTTAGGGTATATACCAAGAGGTAGAATTGCTGGATCATTGGAGCCCTGGTGGCATAGTGGTTAAGTGCTCAGCTGCTAACCTAAAGGTTGACAGTTCAAACCCAGTAGCTGCTCCGTGGGAGAAAGATGTGGCATTCTGCTTCTTGGAAACCCTATGGGGCAGTTCTACTCCGTCCTGTTGGGTTGCTATGAGTTGGAATCAAATTGACTCGACGGCAGTGGTTAAGGTAGCTCTGTGTCTGATTTTTTTCAGGAATCACCATATTGTTTTCCATAGCAGTGGTACCATTTTACATTCCCACCAGCAACAGATGAGGGTTCCAGTCTCCCCACATCCTCGTCAACTTTTGTTGTTTTCAGACTCTATAGGGTTTTCAAATGACTTTTTGAAAGTAGATTGCCAGACTTTTCTTCAAAGGCACCACTGAGTAGACTTGAACCACCGACCTTTCAGTTAGCAGCTGAGCACGTTAACAGTTTGCACTATCCAGGGACTCCACTTGTTCTATAGTCTTAGATAAGTTATTTAGTCCCTCTGCCTTTCATATTCCTTGTTTGGGAATAGTTTATCCCTCAGAGAAGAAATTCATTTTTTAGTAACTTATAATAAATTGTAATTCTTGTTGTTAGACTTAAGGTGGCCTAAAATAAAAGGAATGATCTCTAAACATATTTTGGGTTTCATACTGTTGTTTTAACTGTGCCCGTATTCTTATCGTGAGTTGTGATAGTTTCCTTAATAAAAATAATCCAAGCCAAGTCCATGGTCGCAACAATAATAGGTACATCTCTGAAATGATTAGCATGCAAGATAGCAGTCAGCATTGTTAAAAGGGCAAGATGCTGTGGGAGTAGGTTATTTGAGGCAAGAAGAGTTTGTTTAACCTGGGTGGAAGGATGGAAAAGACAGACATGGCTTAATGAATTTGTAGGGCACCCTGAAAGAGTCCTGGTAGCGCAGTGGTTAAGCACTCGGCCGCTAACTGAGAGGTTGGTGGTTCGAATCCACCGGCGGCTCGGCTCCTCAGGTGAAAAGACCTGGTAGTGATCTGTTCCCATAAAGATTACAGTCTGGCCCTATGGGGCAGTTCTATTCAGTTGTACAGGATCACTGTGAGTCGAAATCAACTCCTTGGTATACAACAATAGGGCACCCTGGGACAGGAGGAATGCAGTAGGAGGAAGTGTGTAATGCAGATTATACTCTGGTTAGAGTT